AATCACAGCAAGGTCTCTCTGTGTCCACACAACGAGGTCACAAACATGCACGCAATTTTTTCAAAGTACTGTCTCTTGGCGTCTGGGCACAATCGGTCGCGATACAGCCCTTTGTCTTTTGCGCTGATTTTGAGCATGGTTCTGGCAGTCCCGAATCCAACACTCCAACACTGTGCGCTTGTTTTGCTTTCTGGCCTACTGACATGGCGCCGTGATCCCACAATGCACTGCGGCGTGACGTCAACTCCAAAGCCCTATTAGGATAACCATCTTAGCAGGGGCGACCGCGTCCTCACAAAAGTTGAGATAGTCTGTCAGACAGTGTGTCGCCCCCTCTATCTCCTCACCCTGTGGGTTCAGAAGCACATCCCAATCTGTGGTGTCATAACAGTCCCTCAGAGCATCCTCCTTTTCTGGGGTCCATCTCCTATTGGAGCGTGCTGTCACAGGCTGCCTTTGGACAAAGGGTGTGTATTGTGGCTGTAGGTAAACCAGATTGTGGTCTGACTTCCCTAGTGGGGGGACACATTAGCATACAGTAGGTCAATTGTCCTGTTACTCCGTGTGGGACAATTCACAAACTGGTGAAAAGCAGTCAGAGTAGAATCCAGTGTGGCATGATTAAAGTCTCCAGATATAATAATGAAAGCCTTGGGGTGTTGTGTCTGCAGTCTTGCTGTAACTGTGTGTATTTTCTCACAGACAGCTGTTGCGTCGGCCCTTGGAGGGATGTAAACACACACACAGATCACATGACTGAATTCCCGAGGTAGATAATACGGCCACAAGCTAACAGCTAGCAGCTCCAGGTCTGGTCGGCATACCGATACTTTAACGGAGACGTGTCCAGGGTTACAAAATGTAAAAAATGTTAAAATGTAGACAGTGAGTCCCCCACCTCCACTTTTTCCGCTGGCCTGTGTCCCTTATCGGCTCTCACGGATGTGAATCCACATAGATCTATGTTAGCCTGCGGCGTTAGCTTGGTAAGCCATAAACAAACTGCACCCACGGTAGAGTCGGTGGTTGTTCAGAGCGCACAGTTCATCAATCGTATTCTGTAACAAGTTCACGTTGCCCATTATCACTGTCGGGATTGATGGCTAGAATCGCCTTTGGTGATCTGCTTTCCTCACTCCAGCCTTTCAGCCTCTGTAGCTCCTGTTTCGCTCGGCTGGGATGTTGTGTCTCATGCCAGTCTGTATCTTTGTGTTTAGTGCCAGCAGCTCCATTCTCGAGTTGATGAAGGAGCTGGTTCCAGAAGTTTTAAAAAGTGCGTTATCCATACTATATCTAAAAGGTAGAAAGTAAAGTAACTTGTTAAGGTTCAAAAATTGAGGAAGGAGAGTACAAAACACCATGGTCCAGAAGAGCTTGGTCAAACAATTGATTTTTTTTTTTTTTTTTTGTCCCGTTTGGATCTTTAGCCATCAGAATTGTTGTCTTAAGGACAAAAAAGATGCCAAGTGGATTTATTTTACCAAGTGGATCATCAACGTCAGATACATTTCATACATAGGTCAGATCAAAACCACAATGACTTTTAACACAGTTTAAAAAGGAACATTGTCTCTATCTTCATGGCCGTGTATTTCCGTCAACCTTTGACTTCCTTCTCGTCTGGAACAACCCACATCCTGCAAGAAACTGTTCCTCTTTTTGCAGAGACAATTTCGCAGTTCAAGCAAACATGACTAACCTCTCACCTATAAATTAGTCTATCTACTGTGTGTGTGTGTGTGGTGTCAGCATGAAATGCACTCAGTTTCACCCCTCACCTCACCAGCTGAACCTTGTAACCTTTTCCACCAGACAGAAGGCCAGCACGTACACAACTGAAACAATATGTGTAATATATTGAATAAATGTCCTAATCAAGAACCTCTACTAAAAGCTTAATCAAAAGATATAAATGAAATAAAAGATAACAATGAATAACCTGGTTATTCAAACAGCATCATCCAAACAGCTCCTCAGAATAACCTGCACTTAGACTCTGCTTTCGGTTTCACTTCTGCAAAAGGCACACGCTGCAAACATGCAATTTCCTGTCAGCCTGCAACTTAGTCTTTCTGAAAGACACACACTGTTTAAACATCTGAATGCAATATCAGTGCTGTAGATTATATTATTAATGCAATGGTAATGATGATGATTATTAACAATAGCAGCAAAATAATTTCCCTGCTCTCCACAAACTAAAGGAAGGTGGAGAAAAAAAGTTTGAAAGACAGCGCTATCTTGAAACTTCCAATGCTATTAATACACAGGTTTAACGATCAAAAGAAACTGAATCGTGTTTAGAAGATAAAATGCCTGTGTTCATTTAGTGCATTTTCATGAGGAGACAGGCTGAACAAAACACATGCTCTATTGTTCACATGTTAAAATGTGTGAAACAAGGGAAGGTTAGGGTTGAAAATGTTTGATTTATTTTACTAAAATAAGCAGTTATAATTATTTTCATACACACATTGCGAATGTGCTCATAAGAGTTGGCACTCAGTCTTTTGAAGGCCAAAAGCTTTGTTCCGTGTGATTGTCCGGACTCATATATTGTATACTGAAATGACTTAGAGTGCAGAGGGGTAATTGCAAACACACTTAAACACATAGATTATGATTAGAATAAGTCTCTGGGTCAGAGAGCTCCGAATATGATATTCTAAACCAACTTTGAATCACTAGAAGAACAATGGATAATAACAGTAGATTATTAAGGCTAGGCAGAGAGGTGTTTTTGTTTTCTGTCTCTTACAGAGAAAGGAGCAGACATTAGATGAGGTCACGGAGATACGAGGATCCTTGGTAGCAGAAGCCGAGACTGCCAAGATAGCAATTGGGGGTCAAGGGTCATGCCATTTGGGCTCCTGCTAGTCACCTCGTGAGGATTCTAGAACCACAGCAATAATCACGAAGGGGGTTGGTGGAAATCCAGAAGCACTGCACCAAAGAGGCCGGAGGTCCTGACTTGGCTGAGTCAGAAAAAATCCCGGACCTCAGGGTATTCCACCCCTGAGTTTGCAGCAAGAAGAGGAAAAGAGCGCAGAGAATCACCCGTCCTGGAAGATTAGCTGTTTAACTGTAAAGAAGGTCACAAGCCCCTCAGAAAGAGGTTCTTGTTTGAGCACAAAGGTGGCAGCAGGAAACAACAAGAATTGGGTGAAGCTGGAAAGTAATGGGAGGTCTGAGAGTATTAGCATAAAATCACAAACTATTACGAAAGCTATGTCAATTGCCCGAAGTGCTGTTTCTACAGGAAACTACTCCACTTTGGCCAGGCTGTCCCCACAAATTTACGACAAAACAGGTCCAGGACATTTCACCCCGAGAAAAGCTAACTATACTTGTTTTAACATCACGGAGAAGCTCGCAGCTATTAACGGGAGACTGAGAGACCAGTGTCGGAGTGTTAAAAAACAGCTTGAAATTCTCAATTACCATCATAACCCGGCTACCCCTTTGGTGCCAGCTCAAGGCTGGAGCCGAACAACAACTCCCTGATAACGACTGTGTTGAGTCTGTTCCTTCCCATTCCCTACAAGGCCACCTGGGTTGGCTGGAAGACCGTTTACTTAGCCTGGCAGGGCGAAGGACACTGTCTCAGCTGAACTATGGACACGCACACACATACATATACTGATACTGATAAGCACTCACTGACGCATCACCCTCCCTACCCCGGATCCAACGCCACCTCCAACGCTTACCTCGCCCATGATGTGGACATCGGGTCAGCTGGAGGCGCAGTCGAAGATTGCAGCGGTCCCAGATCAGATGTACACACTGGAACTCTTTCCCATGTTGCTTGTCTGTGTTTATTGTGTTATGGTGTGTTGATACCTGTGCATTCCTGTATTATCCTTTTGTGTTGCACATTTCAATGTTTTTTTTCCTCGCTACCTGGCCTGACCTGTCTCCCCAATGTGATGTTTGTATTGTATGTACGGTCGGCAAGGTCTGTCATCTCGGTTGTGGGCAAAAGACCTGCAACTGACAAATAAAGGCATCTCTCATCTCATTAAATTTTACAGTAAGCAATCAGGGAAGCCACAAGCACGACGCGGGAGATGTCGACTCTGACTGGTGCGCTGTGACGTATCTGTCCAGAGGAAAGGTAAATCAAATTGGTGAGTACAGGCTATTCATCAGAATCCCTAGCTGGACTTCTGGCCTGTGTGCCATGGTACGTGTTGGGGCGCCTTTAGTTTTAGTGGGTGAAAAGGGGGTGCGACTGGGTGAACCCGGCATTGCCCAATTAACAGCGAGGCGTGGATGCTATGTTTTGAGGAAGCGCTCGATAGGCTCATTTGACCTTTCTGTGGGTTCACCATAGAGGCTATTGGGCTGCCTAGAGGGGTTCCAAACGAATATAAATTGGCTGACCAAATTGTGGCTGGGTTTAAAACGTTGCCAGTAGTTGTGGGGATTATTTCAATTATCCCAATTACTCCAAATTAGACTGTGGACCTTATTAATTACGTCCACTAAAATGTGCTTAGGTACGCAAACTTAACTTGTGATGCAGTAGAAGGATTAGCAGAGCAATTAGGACCCACTTCTCTTCTCAACAATACTCCCCCTGATGAAACTGTGACCAGAGCACTGGAAGGCCTGAAGACCTTGTCTAAACTCACGTATGAGCTCTTGGGAGTTGACAATCCGCTGGAGGAGGGGATGACCTCTTTCTCTGGGCAATGGAAAGGTTGCATTATGTCCATTAGGGTTCTCTTATTATAGCTATTTTGGTAACTTGTGGGTGTTGTGTGCTTCTCTTGGAGGATAATTTGGTAAGGGCCCTGATAACAAAGGAATTGCCTTGAGTTTTCATGAACAAAGCACCTTTGATCTTATTATCATTGCAATTACATCATTCAAAATCTGAGGCAATGTGGACACCCTCTGGGAGTCTGTGCCTATAAGACAGCGGAGGACAGTAACAAACAAGCTGTGCGTTGATGTATTAGTCTACCAACAGCTTTACATCAGCTTTTCTATAACTCAGCCTCATTGTTGTCACTACTATAAAGTTCCTCCTGTAACTTTTATTGTTTCTGATAAGATCATATGGACTTACTATCTCATACGATCTGTAAGTGTAAAATAACGTTCTTTCAGGATGATGGAGAACTACACCTACAACAGCTACATCCTCCAGTTAGAGGGCTTAAACACTTCAAAGGATTCTCTCTACCCCGCCTTTCTTTTCTTGTTTTTCTCCTACCTGTTTATAATGATTATAAATGTGGGCATTACTATTTTGATTTTCATGAACAAGAATCTTCACCAGCCCATGTATCTCCTTTATTGCAACTTGCCATTGAATGATATTCTTGTAACCTCTATCGTGGTGCCCCGTTTGCTTATAGACCTTATGAGACCTCCATCTGAGCGCCTCATTAGTTATTATCAATGTGTTGTTCAGGCCTACATTGCGCACTTGGTTGGAACCACAAGTCACACTATTCTCATGATTATGGCCTATGACAGATATGTGGCCATTTGTAATCCTTTTCACTATGTTTCCATAATGACCAACAAAATGATGATCAAGCTGACAGTTTGTGCCTGGGGAGTGGCCTTTGTTTTGGTCGGGATTCTTCTAGGTCTGACCATACGACTGAGTCGATGCAGGACTTTGATCACAAACCCCTACTGTGACAATGCCTCATTGTTTAAACTTTCCTGTGAAAGTGTGGTCATTAACAACATCTATGGTATCACTTTCACTGTGGCT